ATAAGAATTAAGGAAGCAATCAGTCCTCGACTACCTATGACTGGGCAGCTATCTAATCAAACCCCTTCACTCTCTCCTATATAGTAGCCTTCTTCTATTATGTATAAATATTATTTTAATTGAAATATTTGAAGTTGACAGTTCTCTAACAAAATATTAATTGTCCTCTGCCACCCTCAGACAAGTATGTCACTAACTCTATATTTTTATTTCTTATTTCAACTCTAGAACTTAAGAAGAATACTACTCTCTGGATTATAAAAGAAATTACTAAACTATAGCATCTCTCTAATTCTTTATTATCCCTTAATCTGATAACTCTTTCATTTGATTTTTTTTAATAAATTCAACATCAGTGATCTTTGACCATCCTTTCTTACTAAGGCCGCTGCATAACTTACTTTATTACGACATGAAAAGGTCTATAATACTAGTGCTTCTTCCTACTTATATAATAGGATTAATTAGGGGTCAATAATAATGGTTTCTATGATTGTAATTATCTTTAATTGTATATTGAGTTGCATATTACTTCACGATTATATTTCTAATAAATTTAGTTGAGACTCGGGCTATATTAAGAAAAGGGGCCCCTAGAATAATTATATTTCTATAGTGCTCGAGTCTCACAAATTTAATTATAACTAGCATATCAATAAAAACATAAATTATATATATATATATATATATATATATATATATATATATATATATACCACTACTTAATAATATGATTTATGATGTCTATACTTTATAAATATGATAAAGATATACTCATGTTTTCGACTTTAAAGAAGTATATACTTTTTAAAAATATTATTCTCAGTATTCTACGAAATATCGATTGAGCATGCATAAAAATCAAATATTTAATTTAAACATATTTTACAGTGAAAAGATATAGTCCTTTGACGTAATAAGCTTATGTGTACTATAGTATAAGATTAAGTTATGATAATAGATATGTTTATAATGACTAGAAGTGGTAGTTGAACGTAATTAATCTTAAGTGAATCTTAAGGTTTAAATGAGTTTGAACATAATTAAAGTAATAAAGATTAAGATTTAAATATCACGTAAGTAGAGGATAATAAGTTACTAAGGTATGGATGAAGCAATAAAAAATCAAATAAAAATATAAATTAAAGAGAAGTGTTATGCTGCAACCTTATAATTATATTAGCAAAAAAATGTTAAAACAAAGACCAATGAGATTGAACCCTAGATCTCAAGGTAATTTTTTAAATAACTCTATCTTATTTTGGTCTCATCTTGATAACCCATAACTTTTTTTCTTATTATTTAGTCATTCTCTTAGCTTTTATCATGAAAGCTAGATATCTCAGTCTTAAGGATAGTTAAGATAAAAAAAATTCAATTCTTTTCTTACTGTACCTAGGATTTTAATTTTATAAATTATAGACTAATATTTTTATTTATTTTTGAGTAACCTAGACTTTGAATTAATATTTAATTTTTAGATATATTTTATATAAATCTCTTATGCTCTAAGACCTAGTTTAGTTTGGGATTAATGCATAGGGTTATAAGTGTCTCAATTTATAGTCCCGAGCTCGAACTCCATTATGTCTTATTCCATAAGGGTGAAAGAACAAGAAATGGAATAAGACGTAATGCGTTAAGGAGTTCGGGCTTGGGATTATAAATCATTCTTTCTTTTCCGCTTCCTATAGCCTTATAATTGTTCCATTACCTACTTAAAGATTCTCTCTACTTGATATAATAACTTGAAATCGTACTCTCCTTTACTATAAGGAGCTATAGTAGCACTCTACATCTACTATTTTCTTTCGTTCATGCGGAGTGGGCTAAGCTAAGCATTTGCATTTTTTATTCTTGATACGATTACAATAGGGATTTTCTAGCCTGCCTAAATGATAGATACCACTTATTGGAGTTTCAGAGGTGTCGTACAAGAGTTGTAATAAAACAAGAGCACAAGAATAAGCAAATAAGTAATTGCTAGATAGATACAAAAATAAACATAAGTGCACATATGATATAAGTTAGATAGTAACAAACACTGCTTGTGAATAATATAAGTGAAATATTCTATAAATAATAGTAGTCACTATTGTGTTAATACTTAATTTGGGGTGCTAACGCTTATTGTGTTAAGTATATTAGTGAGTTGGAATAAAAATATAGGGTCATTTCAAACTGGTCCTATTGTTGTTGCAAAGAGAAGTGGATATCACATCATACCTAACTTCTATTACTATTGATAATATCTACTTACTTAAAGATAATATCAGCATATTTCTACATAATTAACTATCAGCGGCACCCTCACTGAACTGACTTGGACCACTACGCGCTTCAGAACCCCTACTTCTCTTCATTTAACCTCTGTTCAACTATGCTAATGTAATATCTATTATTGAGATGTCCTATCAATAGTTTCAATGCATTTGAGCTACATAAGATAGTCCTGTACGTGAAAGTTGTGGTGTAGCACTAAATGAGCTTTCAAGCAAAAAGGAAATAAGCTATTGAGTCACGAAGCAAAAAGGGAAGCAATGCTATTTGACAGGGCGTATTTTAATCTCATGTGAACCATCGACAGATGTTGTAGATCGACGTGATACCATGCACGCCATGTCAAGCTCCAATGGTGTGACTGTGCGGCTTGACCATCCCAAGAGCTGGGGGCAGTGCCGTCTGCTGTTAGGGCAGTGCCATCTGACGACACTCGAACACCCTCGAAGATGTCATCTCGTCAAAGAGGTTATTCCGCCCCCATAGTCAATAGCCATGTCGGACCAAGGCCTGACCAATTCCCGCACACAGGTATAAATACCCCTGACCTGATCCAAGAAGGGGGGAGAAAAAAAAGATTAATTGATCACTCCACTGACTTGCTCGTCGGAGGGGCCTCGTCGGGTGACCCCGACGAGGGCCATTTTTGTAGGAAAACGTGACCATCTCACGAAGACGAGCTATCAACCACCCCGGAGAAGGAGATACACAGCTTGGCATACACGACACCCGGATTGACATACCAAGGAACGCTGATCAATACCCCGTCGTGAGGGCTCGATCGACCTCGGCATCCAGCTCAGCCGATAGAAGACTCCCGACATTGACCCGTGGAGCCAACGATGCTGACTCATCAGCCACGATACATTTGTTTACTTATTACTACTTTACTACTTAGCATATGTAGTAAGCGTTAGCACTCGACCAGAATAGGAACTCTACTTTACTACTTAGCATATGTAGTAAGCGTTAGCACTCGACCAGAATAGGAACTCTACTTTACTACTTAGCGCTGAAGACAGAAAGCCATAATCTTCATAAAGCCAATAACCTTTTTCTATGATGTCAAGCCAAGAAATAGCTGTCGTGTTGACTTGTACTCTCTCACTAATGCTTATGGGAGAGTTTTCGAGGTGCCAACGTAAGCTTTGTTTTGAGTGAACACAGACTATAGTTGTGGTAGCATTAGAAAGTCAACACAGACCATAGTTGTGATAGAATTAGAAAGTCAAGAACTCTCGTTAGGGGTGAGATTGCCCATTAATGTAATTTTCTTAAAAAAGGGCGAAAGCAAGAGAACAAGCCAAAGTGTGTAGTAGAGTTTTGTCACTCGATTGTATAGAATAAGTGCACTTCTCTTCATATTATAGCTAGTAAGGAGTAACACTTGAAGAAAAGAATTAAGACCTCAGCTCAAGTAGAAGAACACCATGCTTTTGGAACTCACATTCAATACTTAGTTATTGGGTTGAAGAACTCTTATATAAGCGCTCTTTAACCTCTATTCAACATAGCTAATGCAATATCTATCATTGAGGTACCTAAAATGTGTTGATCTTGATAAGAAGAAGGGATAGAGTTATCAAACAGAGGAAGAGTATGACAAGTTTCAATCTTCTATATTTCTCTCAAGAAAACTCTTTACAATTTCAGAAATTCTGTCTATTTTTTTTTACCGAGGTTTATATAGTTCCTAAAGATACATTACATTAATTGTATTCAAGATGAATCATTCTCTTTCAAAAATCAATAATCAATTTAATTTATCTTTCCATAGACTTTTAATCTATTTTTTCTTCTTAATGTAATAAATCTCCCTTTGATGTAATAAACATTTCTTTCGATGAAATGAATCTTGACATTTGAACAAGTTTAATTCCAACAAAAGACTATTTCAATGCATTTAGCCATATATATTGATCCTTACTTGTGAACTCCTCAACACTATAGTCTAGAACTCCCTAACAACGTCTTGCACCATATAATCTTTATACTGTTCCCAGGTGTACTCTTTGAAATTATTTAGAGAACAAGGACAATAATAGAGTACTTGAAAGCAAGGGCAATAATATAGGATTGGAGTTTAACGTTTTTAGTAGTGTTGTTACTTTATTCTATATTTTGCAAAATATATCCGATTCTTAAAGTAAACAAGCAAACTTCTTATTGTTTCGAGATGCTAATGCGAGTTGTACTCTCTTTTATTTCTTTCTTTATTACTAATTTCTATTATATGGGATCTAAATTCTATTCAAAGAACTCGCTAACGCCTATAATCTCTATTTATGTAAATATGTGCACTACTATCAAATTAATTGAAGGAAATTTACTTTATTCTCGCTTATGTCATATGTGAACTACTACTATGATTTTCTTAAAATTGCTTGTTGAATAGAATTGAGGCTTTATTTACTTGCTGATTGTGAATCTCATACACATCTAATAGAATAATTGAAATGCATTAGTCTAATAACAATCGACTATACTCACTTCTTTCATTGCTCAACTTGATACTGCTATTTCATTCCTTGTGAACTACTCGAACTTAATGTGAAGTAAAGGAACTCCTCATCTCAGGGTTAGGGACACATTATACAAGAAAGAGGGTAATAATACAGCTTATTGCCTTTTTCATGCAATAAATACTCCATTGGTGATAAGTGACTAGAGACTTTCTTCTTGACTTGATACTACAATCACCAAAGACTTGATACTTGATATCAAGAACACTTACAAGTTAAATAAGTAGCAAATGCAAAAGAATATATAGCCTTATTTACTGGGAACATGAGCTATACATAAAACATCTGTCCTACATTCAATAGGCTCTCATGGGGAACATTAAAGATCACACTATTTTCCCTGCACACCCTCCTAAGGAAAGCATAGATGTAATCAACAGCAATCTTGTTCACGATCCCAGAGTTCCTACGTGCCCTCACAATTGTATTCCCAAGTATGTGCACCACCCCGGCTTCCTTACACCTGTTCAAGAACTCCAATTCATCACTCGTCGTGTTGCTAGTTTGCCCTGACGATCTCACTATACTGTTGTTCCCTCGACATGGAGATTGAGCAGGTACGATAAGATGGTGACAATTTCCATTCTCCCTCGCTGCTGTTAAAGCTATCGATTTGTCTGTCACCTGTGTAGCTTGTAGGCTGTTCTCATCCGAATCCGAGTATCCTTCCATCATGCTCTCCAGTCGAACAAAGAGGGACAGACTGTCAAAGAGCATCTTCTCAAAGTCGTCGTCTTTCTTGTGGAGATCCTTGTATCCGTATCTGGTGACGCAACGGAACATGTGGAAGCTCTTTGGCCCTATCCGCTTCACCAAGAACCGCTCTTCGAGTGGCACGGTATAGACCGGGAGGTACTTGATGCAGATGAAGACGACGACGGAGTGGATAGCAGGAAGGTTGGTGATGAAGTGGGAGAAGATGTGGGGGACGCCACTGGCTAGCTCCGTGTACACAAAACCTATCCCGGGAACCCGGACTAAGCCCAGGCTGGGGCCGAGGCCTAACATCCATGCCATGGAGACTCTGCTGTGCACCTCAAGCTCGTATCGCTTGACCGTGCAATAATGCCAAACATACATGACGACGAGGAATGCTGCAGCAATGACGAGAGGTACCCAGCCACCTTGATCTATCTTAAACAGCACGGCGGACAAGTAGGGGAGCTCCACCGACAGGGATAGAGTGGTGAAGATGGAGACAAGGATCCAATGGCTTCGCCAGACCAACAGCATAATTGGGATCATCAGAAACGTAGTCACCACCATAACTATCACCACTGCAGTTCCTGTAATCAAAAGAAAGCAAACAGTCGTTCAGTAACTTTTGGCAGCAATCGGTTCCACATTCCAGGCAGTCATGAGAAATGAACATGCTCAGTGTGCTCGAATTGTGGCACCATTATCATATATGACAACATCTATCTCTGTTCTTTGAGATGCACATATGGCACAGGTTATCAAGATCAATCAAGCTTGCTTACCATATGCGTTTCCAATCTGACTTTGATTTTTGAATCCAACAGTTACTGCTATGCAAAGAATCATAAGGACCCAATTAATATCTGGAATATATATCTGACCAAGAAAATTCTTTGATGTGTGCACAACTTTGACCCTCGGAAAACAACCAAGTGCATGGGCTTGCTTGATTATGGAAAATGTGGCAGATATGGTGGCTTGGCTAGCGACAATTGCTGCTGCTGTTGCAACAATAAACATGGGCCAGTACACACCATCTAGAACGAGAGAAAAGAAATGTCATCTCTAGGAAAAGTAATCGAAGAAATGCATACTAGAAGAGTCAGAAATAACCTGGAATGGATCGATAGAATGCATCAGAGACATGCCCATTGTGATGAATTATGTATGCAGCTTGCCCAGTGTATGCCAAAAGAAGACAAGGGAACACAATCAGAGTGAAAGAAATCTGCTCGAAAAGATAACATTAGTGCAAGAGGAACTTAGATGATCATGATCATGACATGGTATTACTGTTTACCTGAATAGCTAGGACAGGGAAATGACACAGGTCAGCAAATAATGCTTCTGTCCCTGAAAAACCAAGAACAGAGTGATTCTGTCTATTGTCAGAAAATATACATGATATAACACCAATGTGTATCGTAATTATTTGTCTGAAGATAGCCAACCTGTTATACTAAGCAAAATTCCTCCAAGTGAAATCCAACTATCACGCTTCCGTCGTCTAAAATATCGGTATATGTAAATCGGATAAAAAGCCTTCAGGACCGAGCTATCATATTTCCATATGTTCAGAGCACCAATAGCTCCAATCAACAGAAACCAGAGGAGCACAATGGGAGCAAAAAGCCATCCAACTTTATCAGTACCACAGTGTTGCAAGCTAAACAAACCAATCAGTATGACCACCGCAACGAGCACAACCACATCTGAAACATTGGGAATTAAGGGAGAAAAAAAGGAAATTATTCACAATGATCCAGACCTTGACATCAACAAGGACAAAGACACTAAATCTAAAAGAACTTGTTAACTATTCATTAGGTCCCAGATAACGGAACATAATGATAACCTGCCATAATCTGTTTAGAATTGAGAGTAAAATGTTTCCTCATATGCATCTATGCAAATAAAAGCGCATAGAAACCAAAAAGAAAAGGACTCCAGTCTCAAGGTCGTAGACATACCATTACTCATCTTTGGATGGTTAACCTTTATGCCGCCTGATGCAGAAAGAACTGTAATGACATAAATTGCATAGGTTAGAAGATCAAATCCCGGATATGTAAGAGACAATCATGCTGGTACGCCAGATAAGCATTTGCCAGACATATAATTATGCAGAGAAAATTTAAGATATAATATGTTGGGTCCAGCCCATACGTGGACTTGGACAAATTGGGCCTATTGAGCCCAAATCACTAATTAAGGTGAAGTAAGGCAAATTAGGGCATGCAGGAAAAATGGAGAGCAGGGTGCAGCGTGCAGCGTATGTGCACAGTGAATAGCGACGACGTGCAGAAA